AATAGCATATATTCGATTTCTTTAACAAAATTCGTTATGAACTTTTTTGTTATATATGATAAGATTTGAATTTGACATGTACTTAAGTGGTGTCAACGAGACAAAACGAAAATGGAACTTTCAATCAATATCAATATTTAGTTTGTGGTGGTTGTCGAGGCCAACATAAATAATTACCTTCAATATTACACACTAAAATAGTGTATAGTGGTAAATTGATCGAATTCACGGGAATTGGTTCGATTAATTACTCTATGATAATCTTGTTGTACAAATACTTGTAAAACTACAATAAAATAAAATTGGGGGATTTTGATCTTTTAAAATATTTAAAAGAAAACTAGAATTATACTAAGATTTTAAAAACACAATTAAAAAAACAAAGTTTGATAAAAAATCAATAGAAGATGAATGTATGACTTTGACTTCCATCACATGGACATTTAGCTAATTATCATTAGACATTATGGTGCAAGACTTATGATTCAGTTTAATTTAGCTATAGCAACCCAAGAAGCTTGAGGTCACCTAGACTTTTCTTAGTTAGTAAAATAGCTAGAGAAGCTCATAACATATTTCCTTAGTTAAAGTTAAAGTCACAATTTTCATTAAGCATGTAGTTAGTGAAAGTTAACTAGCATTAAAAACTAAAAAGTCACCAAATCCAAGAGGAGTCAAATAGTCTTCAAATAACTAAACATCCATTGATTTCACCAAAATCAACCAAAGAAAGTTTATCCTATCATGACTAAACTTAAGAAAGTAAAATAAAAGTTAGGAGTACCAAACATATAGCAAGAATCAAGAGCAAAATGATGATGTTCTTCAAGTGTTCTTGGTGTTCTTGAGACTCCAAAATGCAAAGAAAAACTCTAAAATTGGATGTGTAGAAGTGTGGAAAAGTGGCATACTAACCTTCCCCTTATAGCTCAAAACAAGAATTCTTGGAAATGCCCCTGCAGAGTTGTATGCGACCTGCGTGTTGTTGCGCAGGTAGCTCGCGCAGGTGGTGTTGATTTGGGCTCCTTTGTGATTTAGGCTTCCAGTGACTTAGCCCACTGGCCCAGAGCGAGTCCAATCCGTTTGTAGTCCATTGTTCTTCAAGATTTCTTCAATTTTTACCCATTTCACTTTCTCCAAGTCATCCATAGCTCGTGTACCCGCGCCGATCATTTTAATCCCGGATGCAGAAATGTTCCTCCATTTTCTTATAAGCACAAACTCATCTTATTAAATGATCCATCCATCACTAGCCCACTCTATGCATCATCTCCACTAGCTATCAAACTCATAATCCTTGTTGTCCTCCAAGTCTAACTGCTTCCCAAAGGTCCCGAACATTCCTGCTCCGCTAGTCTCCTTGAAATATGCAATTGTACTCAGAAAACTAGAAAGTACCCGAAATAGTCATAAAATAACAAAAAGGAAAATATGCATGATGATTAACTAAATTATAAATGAAATATGCTAAAATGAACTATAAAAAAAGTAAATAAAATGAAGCTATCATTTTGTACAAATAATTTCAATATTCTTTTGATCCAACCTTAGATGATGCCTTATATTACAAAAAAGGAGCATCACACATGAACTATTCAAATTAATTAAATAAGTAAACCTAAAATGTGTTAGGAATCGGACCGGGTACACGCAACGGAAACACTATCACCCACATCAACAAACTCACGAAATAAAAGCAAGAAGAACACAAGGATATTACGTGGTTCGGATTCGGTGCAAATCCTACATCTACGGGCCGCAACTAGAGATATTTATTATAGGCTTAACAGTAAGATTACAAGTATTGTTGTCTAGAGGTACAAGAAAACCGGAATACAAGGCTGCTATTTATAGCCATGGCACCAAAGTGGCAAAAGAATAAACAACTCACAAAAGTCCTTTCCAAGGTGTAAAGCTCCATTATTGTCACTAACCCACTTTGCCATTGTCCCCCACTAAGCCTTGACAACCAATTCCATGTATTTTCTTCACATGGTCTCCACCAACCAACAATCTCCCACTTGGAGAAAATAACCCAACAATTCTTCAGTAATCTTAAAACAACCAAGTCTTCCAAGCCTCCAGTTCCCAAGAACAAACTAAACTTAGTCTCATTTCTCTAGTTGCAGCCGCCCCTCATCATCAAGTACAAGAAGGGCCAGTTGAAGCTCCCACTAGCTCCAACTCAGCCGTGGCTAATCCCACCACCGACTCATCCTCTGTCTCAACCGGTTTGGACACTCCACCAGCTCCAGAGATACACTGAGGACCACTAACACTCTCCAAGCTTAGCAAACATCCAACAGGAGAGAATTTTTCAGTCTTAGTTTTCAAAACCCAACGACTCTTTGTAATTGTACCCGGAACACGCCCCATTCTCCCACTGTCACAAAATCTCCTTACTGGTTTAGACTTTCCGACTCGTTCAGCTAACATCCCCATGTCTCCAGAATTCATGTTTGCAAAATGAACTCTCTTAGCACTAGATTTAGCGAACCAGATTTTGTTACGCTTAACCGGGACGGTCAAACTTCCCTCAGCAGGTACCTCAACCATATATAACGACCCACGCTTCATACCATGAGCAATCACCAGATTACCATTGACCACCCTCCATTTACCACCACCAAACCTTACTTCCAGTCCTTGTTTATCCAGCTGACCAACAGAAATCAATTTCTTCTTCAGCTCCGGAATCACCCTGACATTTTTCAGGTTCCATGTAGTTCCCAATGAAGTAACCAGATCAATATCTCCCATGCTCGTTACCTGAAGCATCTCGTTATTTGCTAACCGTACCTTCCCAAAATCTCTTTCTTTTAGATTCACCATCGTTTCCCCGTTGTCCATGGCGTGAAACGAAGCCCCTTAATCCATGACCCAAGAGTCTACAGAACTTTCCATACTGAGCATCAATGCATCATCCTCAGACACACTCTCAGCACCGGCAATGTTCAATTCTTTCTTTGGACATTGACTCTTAACATGTCCCACCTCTTGGCAGTTCCAGCACTTCACATTCTTCCAAGTTCTAGACGAACTTCTTCCCCGACTCCCACTGCTCCCACCATTCCTGCTATTCCCTCTACCTCTTCCGATATTTAATAACTCAGAAGAAGACGAGCCACCTTGATTCTTGCGTCTGATATCTTCGCCTAGAACCAAATCTCGAATCCCTTCAAACGTCATGCCACTGGTCCCCACAAAACTCGTAACAACGGTTACTGTTCCAGACCAGCTATCAGGTAGTGAAGCTAGTAGCAGTGATGCTTGAGTCTCATTATCAAATTTAATTCCCACAGATGATAATCTGGACATAATTGAATTTAGATTGTTAATGTGAACCGTAACTGAGCCTTCCTCATTCATCCTTGTAGTGAACAACTCCCTCATCAAGAACACCTTGTTAGCCGCCGATGGTTTCTCATACATATTTGACAGAGCATCCATCATACAACGCGCCGTGGTTTCATTCATGATGTTGAAAGCAACGCTCTTCGTCAACGACAATGTAATAACCGCCTTGGCTTTCTTATCCTTTGAGTTCCACACATCTTCAGCAGCTTTTTCCATTTTCTCCGGTTTGTCTCCGAGTACCACCTCCAAGTCCTTCTGACATAGCAATGCTTCTACTTGCATTTTCCACCAGCTAAAATCAGAACCGTTGAATTTCTCGATTACAACCTTGTCTTCAGCCATTACGACAAACAAGATAAAAACAGGTACACTTGTGTGTGACAGAAAAACCCGACCGTACAACGACAACGATCGTACAGTACCCAAAACGGTCAACCTTGTTTTTGATGTGGCAGATCAGACTAAGCTGCAACCACATAGCATAATACAAGATATGACCTCCTTCAACCTAAGCTCTGATACCAGTTGTTAGGAATCGGACCGGGTACACGCAGCGGAAACACTATCACCCACATCAACAAACTCACGAAATAAAAGCAAGAAGAACACGATATTACGTGGTTAGGATTCGGTGCAAATCCTACATCCACGGGCCGCAACTAGAGATATTTATTATAGGCTTAACAATAAGATTACAAGTATTGTTGTCTAGAGGTACAAGAAAACCGGAATACAAGGCTGCTATTTATAGCCATGGCACCAAAGTGGCAAAAGAATAAACAACTCACAAAAGTCCTTTCCAAGGTGTAAAGCTCCATTATTGTCACTAACCCACTTTGCCATTGTCCCCCACTAAGCCTTGACAACCAATTCCATGTATTTTCTTCACATGGTCTCCACCAACCAACAAAATGTTTATTGGAACTCTAGTTCCATTTTATAGTTGGAATTTGGAAGCAAAGTAAATTACAACAAGATGAAAGATAAACAGACAACAAGCTGCATATCTATTTTTTTATGGATTACAAAACTATTTTTTTTATACTATGTTCACAAGATAAAATTTGTTTGAACAAAGAGACTCGAACTTTATGATTTTTACCATGTTTAGTTCAAAATTAGAATAATTTTCATTTTTGTTTCCAAAACTTCTTAATTTTGGTATTTATCTGAAATCTTTCATATTTGGTCATATAATTTTGGTTCTTACTTTAAAGTTTTATACTCCCTCCGTCCCAAAATTATTGTCCACAGACAAAAACACATAAATTAAGAAAAGCAATCATTAGTTTTGTCTTTTTGAGTAAAATGACCCTCTTGCCCTTTTCTAAAACCAATGAAAAATGTGCGTTTGAAATTATTCAAGTTTACTTTATTAAATGTTAGGGGTAATATGGTAAAAGTGTATATCTACTTTTGGTAGTGGACAATAATTTTTGGACAAACTAAAATAGTAAGGTGGACAATAATTTTGGGACGGAGGGAGTATTTGTTGCTTGATCTTGCTGATTTTGGTATTTATTTCAAAGTTTTATATAGATTTTGAGTAATACCAATAAAAAAAATAATAATAGGATATGGACACCATTTTTGTAATTTAACTAAACATCTTTCAATGGCGCACCGTTAATTGTTAAATCAAACACATAGGCCGAGAGGACTCATGTGTGTCTACTGTCTAGAGACTTGGTCCACAGCAGTTGCCACTAAAATATTTGTGCTTTTAAGCCCTTAACGTCCCAATGGAAGCACTAGCAGCATGACTTCACAAGAGAACCTATTCTATGGAATCAAATGCGCATGAAGCAGTTGTGGATCATACAGATACAGTTTTAGTTTATCATACAAAATAATCCCCAACTTTCCTTTCTTCTTCCACGCCTCATTGATCCATTTCTCAACCCCCACCCACCCACAAACCCTAGAATTTCTGGAATCCAAGTGGGGTCGGGTTCTATTGGGGTTTTAACATCTGATCACAATCAACTACCTTATCCTTGACTTTCAATCTTCCCCATTATTACCGTTGAACTGGATATAGAGGAGCACACAGTAGTTGGTGCTTTGTGTATTTTCTGGGTTTACTTTACAAGTTCCTATGACGATCTTGACTGTAAATACGCTCTTGATTTGAGGGTTTTTGAGTTTTGACTTCGTTTATTGATCATGGCTAGGCGACATGGATGGGAACTTCCTGCTCACACTTTTCAGGTACGATTTTTGTGCTTAATTCGCTACTTCGATCCGCTACGTGTTTGTGTTTTCCCTATTTTTTGCAATGTGGGTTGGATTCTATGTATTTTAAGTAAAAGTTCTGTCTAATCATGCTTAATTGTTAGAGGTTAATAAATCCATGAGATTTACCATATGAATCAACTGTCATTCTTACAAAAACACACACTACCATGTTTGAGGTTAATAAATCCAAATCTATCTAATCAATTTGCAGGTTGTGGCTATTACAGTATACTTCTTACTATCAGTTGCCTTCTATGCATTTTTCTCACCTTTTCTCGGAAAGGACATCTACGAACATGTGGCAATCGGTGTCTACTCCTTCTTGGTAAATGACCTTTTAACCCTTCAATCAGCTATCTCCATGTTCTCCATGATAACCATTTTTATCACTACAATCTTTCAGGCTCTCTGTGTATTTATCCTTTATGTAAGATGCACAGCTATCGATCCTGCTGATCCTGGCATTCTAATTGACCCAAACAGGGCAATTGCATCACCTTATAGATCCCATAATGGAACTGAAGTACCCGGTTAGTGATCCAAATTGTTTTGACTTTTGACCCACCCGTTGACTGACTCGCCCGTTTTGTAATCTTTGAAGCAAATGTTTTTTTGGGTATCAGGAAATGGATCATCTGTTGGAGAAGCTAGCAAGATTGGGTTTCAGAATGTTGGAATATATGATAATGGTAGCTCAGGTTGTTGTTCAAAAGTTTGGGGATTCTTTTGTGGTTGTATTGTAATAGAGGATTGTAGAAAAGATGAAGATATGCAACAAGGAGGGGAGGAAGAAGCTTTATTTTGTACACTATGCAATGCTGAGGTATCTATTTTATATATTTTCTGTAAAAAAATTAAACTTTATTCGATTTCTGAAGTTGTATTTTGTATACTAACTCAACTTCTTATGATATGATTGCTGATTTTCTGGACAAATTATTTAATATCTTGTTTTTAATTTGTTATAGGTGCGAAAGTATAGCAAACACTGCAGAAGTTGTGATAAATGTGTTGATGGGTTTGATCATCATTGTAGGGTAAGATCCAAATTCCAAAATGAAAGAAATGGCAACACACAAATGAAAAATCTTCTAGAATCTTTTTCATTGTTTATATGTAAATTCACATGACTTAATTTTTATTCTAAATTATTTGTTGTGCAGTGGTTGAATAATTGTGTAGGGAGGAAAAATTACTTCACATTCGTGTGCCTAATGGCTGTAAGTGTTGTTTGGGTAAGTTGATAATCGAAAAAAATTGTCATTTGATATTTAATCTATCAAAAGTAATTCTAAATATTTTATTGTGTTTTAATGTCAGCTGACTTTTGAATGTGGGGTCGGGATTGCTGTTCTTGTTCGATGTTTTGCTGATAAAAAATCTACAGAAAACCAGATTGCAGATCGCCTTGGAGATGGATTTAGTAGACCTCCATTTGCAACTGTTGTGGTATCTTCACTCTTTCCAGTCATGGACAAGGACAAATTCGTAATTTCAACTTCAAATTTTCATTTTTTTTTTACCCTTTTTTCAGGCTATATGTACTGCTGTTTCTTTTCTTGCCACTATTCCACTATGCGAACTCTTCTTTTTTCACATAATCCTCATCCAAAAGGTTTCTCTCTTTTCTCTCTCTCATCTACCTCAATCTCTAAATTTATATGTATTAGAAATAACAATTTCTTACAATTATTAATACACAGGGGATCACAACATACGAATATGTAGTTGCAATGAGGACTCAAAGTGAGCCTCCAGGAGCATCAATAGATGGAATGGATCAACAAAGCCTGCAATCATCTCCAACAAGCTCTGCAATCACTGCCATTAGTGGAAGAAGCTCCCATGGCTTAAGCTTACAACACAAAGGTGCTTGGTGTACACCTCCAAGAATCTTCATGGATCAACAGGTTGTTAGTTGTTATTCTTCTAGAGTCTTCCATAATCTTCTAGAATGTTCTACAACCTTCTTTACCATGTGATTGATTATATCGGATTCTAAAATTATTCAGGATGAAGTGGTCCCACATCTAGAACCAGGGCGCCTACCATCAACGGTTGATCCGGACGCAGTTGACAACAAGGGTAAGAATTTACCAAAACGCCCTGTGAGAATCAGCGCATGGAAGCTTGCGAAACTGGATTCAAATGAAGCAATCAAAGCAGGGGCAAAAGCGAGGGCCTCATCCTCTGTTTTGCGCCCTATAGGATCTAAATACGATCCTGATCGTTTATCAAGTAGCAATGTGAGTGGGAGAAGCAGCCCTTCACATTACAAATTTCATGAAAGGAGCCACTCAAAAAGCTCTTATCCGCCTAGTCGTGCCAGCAGGGATGATGACGTGGATACATGTAATCATAGTGTTAGTAATTTAAGTAGTCCGGCTCCTGGTAGAGACCATTTTAACCCTGTGTACCAGTCTTCAGCGAATCAGTCCCCATGGTCAGGGAAAAATGAGCCAATGGTGGTGTCACACGTGGCACCTCCTCCTCCTCTTCCTCCTAGGAGAAACAACAACAACAATAATAACAACTTGGGTGTTGGTGAAAGTACGAGATCGTCCTCGGTGTATTGGGATCAAGAAGCAGGGAGGTTTGTTTCTGCTTCAACTACAAGAAGCATGGGTGGTGGCTCTTCCTCTCAGGCTTCGGGGTCGGAGCTTACGTATACAGGACAGTCGATATTTTTTGGTGGGCCGCTAGTTGGTGGTGGTCGGGGCGGGACCGGGACCGGGCCGCCAGGTGGGGTGGCGGGTGGTGGTGGTCAGCGGGGGGCGGGCGCGTTGAGTTATTATCAGCAAGGTAGAGCGCAGAGAGGAGGGCAGCTACCGGTGTTTGTGCCGAATGAGCAAAATCAGACTCCTAGATTATAATGAGATTGTTTATCTAATTTGGTTATTGGACTTGTGTAGATTTGTTTCTTGAATATTTATCAGCAAATTTTGTTGTGTTTCTTGACTTAGTGCATACCTTTGTGTTCGGTTTGTTGAGCTTGAATGTAGCAACACACTCAACCTTTGTGTCTTAAGGGTGAGACACCTGCTTACATGCTTGATGATAGGTAACCGGGTGATTATGACGCATCACACATGGATTAAGTAACTAGAAAAGCAAAAGAGTACATGAGATGTACATGGTTCTCATGATCAATGAGATTATGTAACGTCTACAACTGAGCAAGATAATTTTATTGATAATGTGATTGTGGTTTTTAATTATATGAGATTCATAAATAGAGATTGCGGACCTAAATTTCTCAATCATTGTTGGTTGACAACCATTAGACTCCACGACTCATCAATTTGTCATTTTGAGGTTGCTCAACAAATCAAATTGTATTCCATGACATGTAAGTACACATAACTTAGTGTTAACGTGATCTCATTAGAAGCAAATACATGGTCATTGAAGATCCTTTATAATTCACACTATGACTATGTATATAAATCCTTGTAAATTGTTTGATTTCCCATGCAACAAGAATTTATAGAAAGATAGATGATCACTAAAATGATCACAAATTAATGCCAAGAGTTACGGGTCTTTTCAAGCTGTTTTTTTTCTCTACAAATAAGTTATAACAACAGAAAACAAACAAAGATTATTGTTGGTTCAACGCAACAGATGACATGTAAAATATGAAAAACTGATTATTATCTAACAACTTACTTTGATATAGTTCATGATGTATGTTAAATCACCATCTTCGATTGTATTATCTTCTTCAACAAACATTGTTTAAGAGAATATCAACTTCTTTATCAATATATGATATGGGCTTATTTAGTCATAGAAATCATTCATTACCTTATTAATTATTGTTGATTTTATATCATTTTATGGACAAAAGGTACTTAATTAGCTTAATATTTCAATTTCAGCAATAAAAGACATGCTCGGGTGAAAAAGGAAGAGGATTGAGTGATTGGAAGCTTGGAGATTGAAGACTGAAGAAAGAATGATGTTATTGAACAGCTTGACCCCTCGTCAGTGTTTTGTCCATATCTCATGAACCGTAACTCCGATTGACGAGATTCAAAATGTTCTGAAAACTAGACACAATTTCGGACGACTTTCGTGTTTTGAGAAAATGTTGATTCCAAGAGAACTCGACGAGTTGGTCAGAATGTTCCCGATTCGAAGATACCTTGCCGCACACGCTGTATACGCGGATTATCGAAAAAACTCGACGAGTTGGTGGTGAAAACTCGTCGAGTTGGCCCTGTTTTCATAATTTATATATAGAAATGCTTCTCATTCGAACCCTAACACTTCCTAGAGGCTAGATGCGATTATTGAAGACCAGAAGGGTTCTTGAAGCTTCAGTTTTCGAGATTGCAACATAAGAGACAATTTAGAAGAGAATCAAAGGCAAATAATCATTCTTCTTTTCTTAATCTTTGTTTTGAACAATGTTTGAATCATTAGATTTTGATTTTAGGTTATTACTTGCTGTAGATATGAGCTAAAAGCTTTTTACTTCTGTTTGGATGAGATAATCTTATGAACATGGTTTGATTGAGTGGTTGGATTAATATTAATTTGGTTATTTATCTTGTTAAGCTTGTTAAAGATCCTCATGTATTGATGATAAATATTTTCTGTTAATAAGTGAGTTATTAAGTTGTATGAACATCTTCTTGATTACTTGATTCATATAATTTTGAGAATACAAGATTGTATGCCTAGGAATAGTGAACATGAAACTAGGGTTAACTAGAAAATATGTAAATCAATGTGTGAGCATGTGTGATGAACAACCACATATGAGTTGATTGAATTGAACAAATTTGATTAGCTATTATTACAAGTCTTACTTGATACGAACTGAACACTAGGAAACTTGTTAGTTTAATCAACTGGCCACTGTTTGAATTAACTTGTCTACTAAAGGATTGGTAATAGTGAACATGAACCCAATCATATTAGGAATCGGTAACCATTGACATATTGATCCATTGCACTTGCCACGAAATCAACCATAGGAATAAGTGAATCAAATCTGAACATAAGTCTCTTTTATCATTGAATCTAGTTGTCCTTTCTTGTTCTTCTTAATTGTTAACTGTATTTTGTTTGAGTGTTAATTGATTGTTTAAGTTTCTAGTCTTGCAAAACTAGAGAAACCCCCTTTTATATTGTTTTATTTAGATAATATTAACATTTATTTTAATTGTTTACCGTTCCCTGTGTTCGATACCCTACTTACCTGAACTAAACTACTAATCGATAGGTACACTGCCTTTTGTGTCTTTTTTTTTTTTGTTTAAGTTAGTAGGATTAAAACTAGTACGTTTCACACACATCAATATATATTGTATGTATAAGTTGTTCCTCTTCGTCCTCAACATCGACTTTATATTTGCTAGAAATAAATGGCACTCGCGAGATCATAACAATTAAGGTTGTTAGGGAGGAGGGAGTCATTCCCTCCCAACCCACTGAACCCACTGAATCCACTGTCACATCACTTTTTCTCTTTTATTTTTCTTCATCTTTCCGAACCCACAACACACGGAAATCCTATCTTTTTGAACTCACTCAATCCACTCAATTAAAAAAAAAATACAAAACAATCAAATGTAAAATCTTAATTAGCAATAGAGTTATCGGCGGTACCACTCCCGCTTCAACGAGTGGGTTGATTGGTTTCACTAACCCACTTCATCATCTCTCTCTACTTTCTCTTTCTTATTTTTTCTTGTACCATGTGTTTTAAAACTTGTACCTTAGTTGTTTTGTATTTTTTTTAATTGAGTGGGTTGAGTGGGTTGAGAAAGATAGGATTTCCGTGTGTTGTGGGTTCGGAAAGATAAAGAAAAATCAAAGAGAAAAACTGATGTGGCAGTGGGTTCAGTGGGTTCAATAGAAACGACTCCCTCCTCCCTTAGGGAGGAGGGAGTCGTTTCTATTGAACCCACTGAACCCACTGCCACATCAGTTTTTCTCTTTGATTTTTCTTTATCTTTCCGAACCCACAACACACGGAAATCCTATCTTTCTCAACCCACTCAACCCACTCAATTAAAAAAAATACAAAACAATCAAGGTAAAATCTTATTTAGCAATAAAGTTACCGCCGGTACCACTCCCTCTTCGGCAGATTGTTTAATTGGTTTCAGTAACCCACTTCATCCTCTCTCTCTCTACTTTCTATCTCTCATTTTCTCTAGTACCATGTGTTTTAAGACTTGTACCTTAGTTGTTTGATATTTTTTTTAATTGAGTGGGTTGAGAAAGATATGATTTACGTGTGTTGTGGGTTCGAAAAGATGAAGAAAAATCATAGAGAAAAGCTGATGTGGCAGTGAGTTCAGTGGGAACGACTCCCTCCTCCCATATTGGGAAAAGTGATATATATTTGCTAATTCACGGCCATTATGTCTTGAGATTCGTGGTTTTTTTAACAAAATAAATTTATGTGGTTTTTTGTGTATAGTTGGCCTCCTACTAACACCATTTTTTGTGTAGAGTTGGCCTCTTTTTGCCAAACACTTTAAACAAGTAATGATAATCAACTTAAGAACCCATCGTAAACAGCTCTTAATTTGATAGACATTATATAGCAAACATAAGATTAAATACATTGTCAAAGCATATTGAATCCATCTAACTACGAACTATGTTGGGTTCAAAAGGGGTGCCATATGTGATTTGCATAAATGTGAGGGTTGTCATTGTGATGTAAACATATCGTGTGGCCAAGATTTGTGGTCATGTAACTGAATTCCCTATTAACACTCTGGTTAATTGGTTTTTCAAGGTCAGCATTTTTCAAAGTATTTTTTTTATCAAAATGGGGAAATATGTTTTTGTTAGTTAATTTGACTCCCAAAATACACAGTTTTTCATCCATCCGTACACAACCTGGTCCATTTCTGTCAGGACCAGCAAATACAAGAAACCTTTTCTCCTTTTCTCAATCTGCTTTTTTCATATCAATATCCAAAGGGCCACAAAAAAGAATCCATCCTCATCATCATCTTGAAGCCATTTGAATATCTTAATCTCTATGGGTGATTACGTTCATGACAAAGAAAACGAACATTGATGTGATGTGTAAGAAAAAGCTACAGTTTTGAGAAGATAATTCGATTTTGGTGGTGTTTGTTTGCTTTTAGGTTAAAATGGGAGGAGGAGGTAGGGGTCTAGATGAAACCGCAACATGGTCTGTAGCCCTGGTTTGTGCAATCATCGTTATAATATCGATCTTGATGGAAAAAGCTATTCATCATGTTGGACATGTAAATATATAATCCTCAACCTTTTATAATCATCTAATCCTTTATATATATATTTTCTATTTGAATTTGGAACGTTACATTGTTACAATATAACTAATCGATACATGCATGTACAATATTTCAGCATTTGAAACATAGAAATAAAGAGGGACTGCTTGAAGCACTGGAAAAGATCAAAGCAGGCAAGAATATTATATTATAAGCTAAGTTTAATTATCATTATATGAATGTTTTTTTTTTGTGTATTGTATTTGATGATTGATATATGTATGTATTATGGTTGTATGCAGAGCTTATGATTCTTGGATTTATATCTCTGTCGTTGACATTTTGTCAGAACTCGATTGCTTCCATTTGTGTTTCTAAAATACTTACGAAAGATTTCTTGCCATGCAAAAGAAAACCCGATGGTAAAGAACCAGAAGATGACGATGATGATGCTGAAGATGCTCGTCGCAGGCTTTTAATGTATGATACTCATCGAAAATTAGGAGGCGGAGAACCCGTAGAATGCAAACCCGTAAGAATTTAATTTCTTTCAAATATTTTCAATCCTTAATTAATTGCTACAATTAACTTATTTATGTTATATTCGTTTAAAATCATTTAATTTAACAATGGTGTTAATTAATTAAATTATGTTTTAATCAATTAATCAGGGATATGAGCAGCTTATAACAGTTACAGGATTGCATCAACTCCACATATTCATTTTCTTTTTGGCAGTTTTTCATGTTGTTTATAGTGCCCTCACTATGATTTGTGGAAGAGCAAAGGTGACATTAATTTATAAATAAATTTTTAAAAAAAATCTATAAATTTTCTTTTGATCGATTTTGCTCATCTTAAAGCGTTTCTTTCGATGCAGATCCGTGAGTGGAAACACTGGGAAAAAGATATCTTGCAGCAACAACAATCCGGACACGGTGTTTAATTATTAATTACTTCTTTTTTTTCATTTATTACCAAAGTTTTATTGTGTGTGTGTTTTTTTTTTCATATTTTTGATGATTTTTGTGATGATGTTTAATTATTTATGCAGATCCTTCAAGGTATCGGCTTACAAAAGAAATATCTTTTGTTAAAGGGCATGCCACCAAGACCGGATCCTCAGCCTTCTTCTACATTGTAAGCCAATTATACCACTAGCTTTAATTCTCACGTTCTTATTATTAATTATTAGATAACTGTTTGTTAATAAAGTAATTAACATACAAATAATTCATTTAATTTCAGATCTGTTTTTTCCGGCAATTCTTTACCTCTGTTGGTAGATCAGATTACATGGCGATGCGCCATGGGTTCATTTCTGTGAGTTCTACATTCTACAACCCCAATTTCTTTTCTCATTTATAAAAATACTAATAGTTAATATATAGTAATATTCATGACTTTCTTTCATTGACATATATATACAGGTTCATTTAGCTCCTGGAAGTCAATTTAACTTTCAAAAATACATAAAGAGGTCACTTGAAGACGATTTTAAACTACTTGTGGGAGTAGGGTAATTACTTTCATACACTCTTAATTATAGTTATATGCATTGTATAAATCAGTTATTTCAGCTGTATGAATTTTAATAAATTTGGCGACACTTTCAGTCCGTTGTTATGGACTGTTGCGGTTATCTATCTGTTTGCCAATGTTGAAGGTGAATCTTAATTTATCCAAAGTCCTTGTGTTTTTAAGTATAAATATCCATGTATACATATTGTAGTAAATAATAATAATAATCCATTCATAATGTATGTATGCAGGAACTCATGCTATGATTTGGCTATCTCTATTCCCTGTTGTTGTAAGGATTTTCCCATGCATTTAATCAAGAAAAGTTAACGATTTCCTAATTATGTGATCAAGAGAGAGAAGTAGCTAGTTAATCTTGATTAATTATTTACTGTTAATTAACTAATAATGTTGATTTTGGGATAAAGATAATCTTAGCAGTTGGAACAAAGCTTCAAGCCATTATAGCACGAATGGCTATTGAAATCCAAGAAAGACATGCTGTTGTAGAAGGCGTACCTCTTGTTCAGGTCACGGATAATCATTTTTGGTTAAAGGATCCTACGCTAATTCTTTTATTAATTCAGCTCACGCTCTTCATGGTACGTATCTTTCTCTTCGATCTCTCATTAGTTAACTATCAAGACTTGGGAGATATATATTAGTTATATATAATAATATATAATATATAATTATTGTAACAAACATTTTCAGTATATATATACCATTTTGCTGTGTTATAAATTATTGCAACTTAATTTAATAGTTTGCTAACTTGTGAGTTGTGAATTTTTGTATGTCCAGAACGCGTTTGAGTTAACACACTTCTTCTGGATATGGGTATATATCGGCTTCCTTTAGTTTTCTTTATCTTTTTTCTTACAAAACTAGTTATATATGCTAATTAATAAATATGATTGACTACGATACATGATGTGATATCGATTACTACAGTATGAGTTCGGACTCTTCTCTTGCTTTCATCAAAAGCCTCTTCTTCAACTTGTTAGAGTTTTAATTGGGTAAGTTTGGTAGTTGTATTCATTCTTTGTCTTGGATCAAAAGTTTTTACTTTTAATCTTTATCCAATACAAAAAAAATTCCATGGTGGCTCTAATTGCATCACATATTCACAAGTTAAATATGAGAGTTATTATTGGGCATGCAAGTTCGAAGATTTTGATATGTTTGCTTTATTAATTTACCAGAATTATAGTTCAAGTCTTATGCGCTTATGGCATCCTTCCACTCTATGCCCTTCTTTCTCAGGTACCTCTAAGGCTCTAACTACTATTCCCACTAATAACTAGAGTAAATTAAGGGTCAAAATGGGTAATATTTAATATGATGTTTTTTTTTGTGCAGATGGGTTCAAAGATGAAGAGAACAATTTTCGATGATCAGACCTCGAAAGCCCTCAAGCATTGGCATAAACATGCAGTGAAAAAGAAGGATGCCAAGGGGCAATCTGGTCATCTTCCGACGTCTGGAAATGCTGCAGCACAAAGTGCTGCTCCAGACGCTGCTGACGGGGGTCACGCTTCCTCGGGCCAATCGGCTCACATTGTGGCCAGCGTAGACATTCCACAAGATAAAAAGAACGCATCATGATTGATCTACCCCTAACTTGCTTTGATCTTCTAGCTCATTTTTTGTTTGTTGTTGATTAAATTAATATATATATATATATATATATATATATATATATATATATATATATATATATATATATATATATATATATATATATATATATATATATATGAACCTAATATATACTAGAAGATATATTCATGATGATGAGAACATCAAAGAATGGCATACAAGTATATGTGATTATGTTTAGAAGGTACATATATTGTTCCCACTCAATTGGTTCCTTATTTGTAATTAAATGTTACATATTTCGGTTTCATGTCTTATTATTTATGCATTTTGTTATCTTCTTCATTCCTATCTAATTAGATGTGGCACAATTGGTGTCTAGTAACAGGTTAAGTAGACCATATAATTTGTAGTATAGATTAGTTTGATCCACAACATTTCCTCTCCTATTCTTTTTACAAATTAACTATGTGCTAAATATGATTAGAGTATCTTGTTAAATGTGTTCCTTGAAATTTGGTGACCCAGACCCGAAAGGAAGTGAAAAAACTTGACGTCATATATTGACGAGATAAGTGTTTTGAGTAGGCTTAGGACCGATAGGCCTTAAGCCATACACGACAAACACTTAACCCATGGTGGTGGGAGGTGCGACTAGGCCTGGCAATGGAGCGGGTTTTGACCCTGATCCGATCCAAACCCTCAAGAATTATATAGGTTTGGAGCATATTTTTTGATTCGTTTATCCGTTAATGACTCATACCCGCTAACCCTTTTATTAAAAGGGTCGGGTGTGGATCATCACTGATCCGCTCCGTTTATAACCCGCCCCGCACAATTTTTGAATTATTGGTCTATATTTTATACTGCTTAAAGTTTAATTTTAATTCCAATCGAAATTCCAAAGGGAAAATGCCAAAGTCTAAACTATTTATACATAAGAATCAAGGAGTCGACTTCTAGACTTCCAGTCTACTACTAAGAATTATGATGTCATTTTCATTTATATTTCATCAAGCAATCGTTATATTTCATTCATAAATCAATAAATTCATTCATCAACTGAAAGAAAGTTTGTCATTGCTATTTTCTATACAATAATTGACAGTCAAAAATAAATCAGAAGTTACTACAATAGTAATTTTTAATTCCAATCGGAAGTCCAATGTGTTTTCTAAATCAACATTTTTTTTATATAAGAAATATTATTTTATTAATCAAGTAAAATGTGTTTGATAATTCAAAAAGTCTACGGGTTACGGGGTGGGTTTGGATATTCGTTGATTCGGTGGATAAGGGTATGAATTTGATTATTCAAAACCATTCGGGTTATGGAGCGAGTTTGGATCGAATTTTGAAATTTGTTAAAAGGGTTTGGATCAAGGCCGGTTCGCTCCAAACCCGCCCCATTGCCAAGTCTAGGTGCGACTCCCGCGGTATGAACATTTTTTGTTATTCTGAATTTCCTTGTATATGGGCTCAGACCTATAGTTGCTAGGGTTGTACGATTATAAATATTTGTAGCTAGAGATTCCTATGTAATCACTTTTTAAACAATTGTTAATAGAAGAGTTGTCCGGTTCCTGCCCATGAATGTAAGTTACATCGACCAAACCACGTGAGTATAAAGTTCCAACCTTGATGTTTTTTCCTTTAGATCTAGTTTTGTGGGTCCTTTTGGTATCTTTGGTCCCTTTATTGGAGTTTTTGGAGAACTCCAGAACCATATGAATGACTTAAATGATTTACAGACTTGTTAAAAGATAAAAAAAATGAGTATGCATATATTCCCTTGTGTCATGCATGAGTTTTTGGTTCTTTTAGAGTTATGGTTAGAGTTTAGAAGAGATTAAGCCATGGAAATGGATAACTTTATCAATTAAGTCACTTAGAAGATCCATATCTAAAGTTTGAGCTTCTGACTTAAAGGAATAAGTGTTTAATAGAAGGAGGTTGTTAAGTCATAGGGCACGACGCGAATTTTGGTTGTTGCAGAACACTTCAAGGGTTTTCACAACTATTTTTTCTTGTAGTGGGTGAGGAGCGCCTGGTCTTGGTCACGATGCGCTTTTGTTGACTTTGACCGTTGACTTTTTGACCAGTTTGACTTTTGGTCAAACTTAGAGGGTCCGAGTATAAAAGAAAGATATATGATTTCAATCATGTTTTCTATTATGTAGGTTGAAGATAATCAAAATATTAGGTGGTGTTCTTATTCTCATACATTTCATGACATTATGTTGCACATTAGTATGACAATTGTATGAAAGTATAAATGAAAGATATATGATTTCAAGCATGTTTTCTATTATGACTATTCTAATGGTAACTTAAAATATAAAGGAAAATTTTATGAATTCAAGTGTCGGTAAACCATTATTTCAAGAATAGTTTGTACTTTATAGTGCGAAAGAAAAGTCTATCATTTCCTAAGAAAGACTATAATATGTTTTCAAAAATTAACTTATGGTATGAAAGAAAGGTTTATGTTTTAGAGTATAATTATGTTATGTTTTTCAAGAATAGTTTATACTATATGAAAGTTTATATAAAGTTTTGAAAGAGAATTTGCACAAGGTTATATTTTGAAAGTTTCAGTAAAAGTATATGAAATGATATATAAAGGTTTGTATCTAAACTCACGTATCTCACGAGACGTTTTTGTCTTACTATGTTGTATTATGAATGTATTTGAGGTTAGTATTTAGAGACTAGAAGAAGATTGGTGTCACACTACAAGCACTTTTGAAGATTAGATGGAGTGGAGCTTGTAAATAGGATCTGTTATGATCTTTTGTTGATTCTTATTTGTTTGTTATGGTTGTTGTTGATATGAATTTAGTAACATTTAAGTTTATTAGTACTTAAACTAATGCTCAAAAAGACCACATTTTAGTAAAGTGTGACTTAATGTAATAAAACATTTTAAACCATAGCATATAAAAAGCATTGTAAAATGGGTATTACATTAAGTCTCTTTCGAAGTTTTTATCGAGTGGATGTGAGTTGGTGGGTTAAACTTCTCAATTCCCTTTATTGTAACTTTAAAAGATGACTATATGGTGGACTAGTTAATTCTAATATTAGGTTTCTAAATTACACATCATCGAGTCGTTTTATAAAATCTGCATATATGTGTCTTGCATTATGCTTTGTACTCGACAATAAATCTCCTATAACTACAACAAGTCTGTATTAATAATGAAAGTGGTTGCATTGTTAGTCTTGAATGAATGTAAGCAAAAAGTTGATTTAAATTTGTACCTTGTGTTGTTTAGAAATTAGTGGTAGATCATTTCCACAACTATGAGAAGATCATCAAATACTATTCTAACAACCACTTCGAGTATTAGTTATTTTCAATAGATATCACTATCTACGAAACTATAAAAATATAGTTATTGACAACCCTACCCACATCATATATGATTTCCCCGATGCATATTCCTTTTAAGAATTAATCATGTAGCTCAATTACCATTTGACAACACTTTATTTACACCAAATTAACTCCTTGAAAGTACATATAAAAATAGTTAAGTTGTATAATATGTATGAAAATGTTTGTGGTAAAATGATTATAAAAAATGTCATAATTCTAGGTCATCAGCTACATAATATGACACGCCAAATAATAACCGGGTAAATGTACCAAAAAAAATTCAATGGAATTTTCTAAACAAAATTAACGAACGATTGATAAATCATGTAAATAAATTGGTTTTAATTAGACCTGGAAAACGTGTCGTGTCAAAACGGTAAACGAGTTGAGAGAGCTTGATCCTAAAGCGACCCGTTTGATTAACGTGTCGTGTCGTATTGTGTCAACCAGTTTATTTTCCTGTCGAGTTCGTGTCGGGTTTCGGATTAGGGGTATACCTTAAAATGTGTCGTGGCATGTGAGTTTGAAACATTAAACATGTCGAAAGAGTATGATTTGGATAGGTGGAAAGTAAATGTAATAGTTAGGAGGCGGCAGGGCCGGTTTTGAGGAATCAAATGCCCAGGACGAAACGGAGAAAAAATGCCCTTAAGCCTTAACGTGTAACATTTTAACGAATTAAATTACATAAACTAATTTTTTTATTAAAATGACGATAAACCTTATAGCAATAAACATAGCAAAATCAAAGTATTTTAATGACTAATAAAATATCCTAACAGTTAACCGACGATCCTTGAAGCTCTCCCAGCATTCTTGATTGCAAATTGGTTGATCAACTCTTCGTAGTCTATACTCTCTAAGATTTCGTTCTCAATAGATATCATCGCCAAACCGCTAAGTCTTTCTTGGGTCATTGTGGAGCATAAGTAAGATTTCACAAATTTCAATTTGGAAAAACTCCTTTCCGCAGATGCGACCGTTACTGGAATAGTCAACAATATTCTATATGCAATGCTTGCATTTGGGAAATAATCAAGTTCTTTCAAAAACTTCAAAACATCTATAGGGTTGCTAAATTCATTGGTTTCCAATGTCTCAAATAATTTCAACTCCGTATAAAGTTCCTCGGCATCAATATCCGATCTTTCTTCAAACTTGGGTGCTTTTTCAAGACGATGACAATATAACTTAAGATCTTTATCTTCAATTCCCCTCAAATTATGTGGAAATAAAAAACCAAATACTTTATCATACTCTTTGAATTGTTCAAATCTTGTCTCAAGAGAAGAAATAGCTTGATCAACAATGTATAAGAAATATATGACTCTGAAATTTTCTTCAAGTGTAAATGAAACTTCTTCGCTACTTGAACTCTCATCAAACCTTTTTTTCCTTTCAATCAAACGCTTTTGTGGAAATATTGGATCAATACCCATTTCAATAGCAATCTCCTTAGCTTCAACAATCGCTTTTGAAAAACCAGTTTCTCTATAATCCTTGAAGTACCCAATCAATTTGTTTATTTCTATAATAGCATTATCAAGATGCATATCCTTTGATTGTAACTTCTTACTCACAATATTCACATGGTTTAGCACTTCATACCAAACAACAGTTGATACCAAAAATTCAAAGTCACTAAGTTCTTT